TTGCAAATCGATAGACCATAAATGAAAACTACTCCACTCAGCAAGCAGAGCTCAAAGTACTTGTGGGTACTCGAGTCATACGATCAATTTGACTGGGGTCTTTAGACGCTGATGGCTGAATTGGTTCATTGTCTATACATTTCTCTTTGAATCACCTTGACTCTCGAGTTCAAGTCATTCAAATGGCATTTCAATCAACTTTTTTTCTGTGGTTACTTGTTCTCTTTCCATCAGTGAATGAAAATGATGTCCAGTGTGACTGAGGTCCTAAAAATATTATACAAAGCTCAATCTATCAGTCTGTGTAACCTCACAGCATGGTAGGATTATCATTAGATTCAATGAAAGTACATCATATCTACCTCAAGCTTGAGAGTTACAAATGCAGGATTACTCACTTCCTTCAAGTCCATGGCATATTACAGATGTTTTTCAAGGTGAATTTGTCAAATTTTAAGCTATGTAAGTGAGAAGCAATGTGAGACTTGATGAATCTCAATGAAAATAGGTCCAAGCTCTCTCAGATTCAATAAATTTGAAGGATGGTTCTAGAAGCAGCTTTCAAATGAATCATTTCTGGGTTCATAATGTACTCAAACTGAAGAGGAATCTCTCAAAAACAATTTTGAGGTAAGTATGTCAGAATTGAGAATACTTGATGTTCAGAACAGTAGAGGTTTGCAAGTTATAAGGCATGATTGTTATTCTATCATATAGAGGTAAAGGTAGGATAATTGACAATTTAATTATAAAGGTGACTAAAAACATCATCGCCACTGAGCATCCGGGAGAAAATTGTGCCCTGACGAAGCTAGGACCATTAGATATACCTAGATGTCGAGGAAAAGAGTCTCTTGAGCAGCTATCAGCTCAGGATTATGTTTGAAGTTTGACGCTTTTTTAAAAAGTTTTTATCAGGTTTTGATGAACCTACTCTTTGGGCGCTTTGTGGATCGTAGATCTGAGTTACATAAATCAGTGGGTATCGTTAAGTCTGGATCCTGGAGACTATCACTGAGTCCAGGTCATTAGATTAATGAGGTCTAGATTATTTGATATTTTCTCCTATTGACAAGATGACTGAACCTGAGGTAAGTGAATCAACTGAACTAGCCTTCATGCATATGGCAATTAGATTTATGAATTAGCCTATCGAAGGTGTCTGCTCATACGACCTATCATCGTATATCTACATGAAAGTAGGTCAAGGCTCTTTCTCCGTAAAAGATCCGAATGAAACAAATAAGTCGCAGCGCGCAAAAAAAAACCGGAGTTTTATTGATCGATTGAAGTTGCCGTTTGAATCTTTCTCTGTGTGAGCGCCAAAAGCGTTTTTCACAAAGAAAATTTCGCCCCCGCGGTCCGTTTCATAAATGAGTTGAAGCGATGAACTTGATATTTGACTAGTACTGGTACTACATGTGTTGTTTCAGCTTGAAATTACCTCCCAGTGTGTGTGTACTGTGAACGAGAGGGTGATTATTGACCCAGCATTGACCCAACATTGTTCTGGAGTTATGACAAGTCCATATGCAGAAACGGGCGACCGTTGAGCGCTTGAGCGCTCAGCTAAAGCTCTTGAAATTTCACCGGTGACCATCTAGACTTCAGACTACAATTGCTTCTCACGCCTGCCCGCCAGACCAAAGATGCAGCCTCATATTTCGGCATTAGTATATGCATTCGTTCACCGGTCCATTGATATCCTCGACATACTAATAGAGTAGTTTTTACAAACCAAGGTACGCTTTTATTCAGTTTTTAGTTCGGCGACCGCCCAAGTCGGATTGACAACAGGGTACACCGTCGGGATACCGAAACTTTAAGACTATGTACTTCGAACGAGCATGATCAGTTCCTTGAATGCAGTGTTATCCACTTTAGATTTTTCCCGACCATGACATTTACTCGCATGCTTTATGTAATTGAGTAAGAAAGACATTCGAAATTATTACCTTCTACTGGGTAGTAGCAGAATATGATACATTTCTTGAGGTATAAAAGACCCAACGCACTGTCCACATTTCTTCAGAGCATTCCTACTACTACCAGAGAAAAGTCTCTAGTTTCTCACCCAACGTTTTCTAACTCTCTAAGCACAATGGCCTTCCGTATCCTCGCCACTCTTGTCCTTGTCGCGTCGGCACTTGCAGCCCCTGCTCCTTCCAACGAGACTTCCACTCTCGAGAAAAGGATTGATCACTTTGGAGACGTAAGTCGTATATTCCTCATCCTTTTTCTCATCTTTCGCACGCAAGCTAACTACCCGTCATTCATAACTTGGATTTCGCGTCTCTACACTAACAACAGGCTACTTTCTTCGAGGTTGGCCTCGGTAATTGCGGTGTCGTCAGCAAGGACAGTGACAAGATTGTCGCCATCCCTAAAGAGCTTTATGACAGAAACAATGGAGGAAACTGTTTCCAGGTTAGATTTCCACAAAGTCGTTGAACTCAAGTGGGCATTTCTGACCTTCCGACCACACATACACACAGTGGGTCAAAATCACAGACCAGAGGAACGGTAATGTTCACTTTGGCCAGACATTCGACAGCTGCCCTGGCTGTGGAGACGGACTTGGTGAGCATTCGTTCATAACGATCTGCTTTAAGGGGGAATAAGCTCAATCCTCATGTTTGCTTTTACCTGTAGACCTTTCTCCTAGCTTGTTCCAAGAGTTCGCTGACTTGGGTGTTGGCCGCTTCCCTATCAAGTGGAACTTCGAGCCTTTCGGTTTTGTTCCCCCTAACTAGGTTGTATCTAGATTAAGTACAGATTAATTGTTATGTTTTAACTGGGGTTTTACGCAGATGGGCTTTTATTCGGGTTTTGTATGGGTTATAGATATAAATTATTTGAGTATTAAATACAGAACAGTGGAGTTCTCATTGGAAAAGGAAGAGGAGTGAACGGATTGAACTTGGTAAGTAAGAGAGGCTTGGAAGGCTACATGAGCTCGGATCGTCACTGTAAGCTGATCGGCTTCGTACTTACCGACTGGATGAAGCGACAGCATCATGTTAATGGATTTTAAAACAACTCACTTTATCATATATTCTACTTTACTGTGATTTTACAGCAGGGGTATACAACACCTCCCCATTCTTCTTAAAATTTACAACGACCTTCTGACCTCCTTCCAAGTCTACCAACCATTCCATAAATTTTTTGGCAACCTCTTTCGACAGAGCCTTCTCAGGCTGACCGAGCAATGCGCTGCATGGATTGAGTAAGATTGCACCATCATCATCGTCAGAACTTAAACTTGAGCCGTCGGTCGATGATGGATCCGTTCCTTCCTTGTATATCTTCAACTTGTCTGAGTCCGTGACATCTTTGGGAGAGGATAACCACGTTCCTTTATCGGTCAACGTATACTCGGATAATACCGCTGCTGCTTGGAGTGCTTGAAGAGGGAATCGAGGGTATTGGTGATACCAGGAGGAATATGCCAAAGCCCATGGTACCTGCTCGTCATAGAAGCACAATTGAATGAATATCTTCAATCCAAAATCATAGTACACGCGTGAATAGATGTGCATTACCTGTCCGATTTTGATGAACAGTTCGCTCTCTTTGATGTTGGTGGCACTTTTATCGAAGCGAGACAAAAAGCGAGTGGGAGGGCGAACAGAAGGATCCGGAGGGACCTAGAAGAGCCATCGAATATTAATTTCCCATTGTCGATATAACATCGCATTAACTACTTACGACGGTGTCCGCATTACCACAGGTAACGAGTTTGTTGAACATGTCTGATACTGTATCGTTCTTCTCGCAAAGCTTTGCAGGGTTACATTTGGGGCCCACGAGGTAGAAGTGATCCTTTCGGCCAAAACAATCAGCTTATATGTGTCAAGACAGCCGTATTCGGTCGTAATACGAGATTCTATCTCAGCGTGTTCACTCACCAGAAAAACGAGTTCCCTTTCAACCGCATCCCCGCTTTTGACTGCCGCTTTCTCCGCTGCAGCGTTGTATGTCAAAGCTACGTCAATATAGCCTGCCGCGAGGTATGATAAGCTTTGAGTAGTGTCACCAAGATACCATTCGACCTCGACGCAGATTTAACTTCAAGAGTATCCGGAATCAGAATAACCCTACGCACTTTAAACGGCTCCGCAACGAATTTACTCTCCACCATCGCCTGAATAAACGCATCTGCAAACGCGCCCACGAGCCCAGACTGCCCCGCACCACCATTTCCTATCCTCAATAAGACATTTTTAGCATCGGGATGACCCCCGTTATAACATTTCTGTGGTACCAAAGAGGATACTGCGCTAGAAGCTGATGGTTGATGGGATTCGACAAGGTGAAAATTAGCTTGCGCCGCCGTTCCCGTATCCTTAGTCTGGTCCTGATTATCATCGCCGGCAGATGCTGATGCGAGCTGGAAAGGTATGACATGAATAGCGCCATCGTGGACATCAGAAGAGCCAAAACTCACCGGACTTAGCTGGGCTAAAGCCATAGTGTAGTAGAGGATGATCGATGAGATATCAAGGAATCCAGGAACAGCTGGATCGATTTACGGGTCTTGGAATTTATACCTTTGATCAGGTGACTGATCTGTTCACAAGTACCCGTAAGAAAGAGGCTCATGCACAAGATATACTTCTTCAACCTAGAACTGCATTCACCAACATGAGGATGACACGAGTTCTTGTCTAAATGAAATCTGAACGTCAAAAGTACGAAACGTTCTTTCGGATGATGTTAAATCGTATTTCTCTCACACAGCGATCCACAATCCTTGACAGACATCCTCATTCGGATCTCTTTTCACCCTACAAAATGTTCGATCTTCACCGATAGTGTTCAAAAATAAGTTACACGTGGGAGGCCGCTGATTGACACCTTGAATGTCAAAGGTAATAAGATAGTCAGGCTAAATGGAAGTTCGTAAGCGCTAAGCCACGATAGATAAATCTCCTATACATAGAGAAGTTGCAGCTCAGCGATAAAGGTAAAATGACGGTTGATTTTCAAAAATACCTTGACAAGAGTGGGATTCGAACCCACGCCCGAAGACTAGAGGTTTAGATAGAAGACCTAAATCTAGCGCCTTAGACCACTCGGCCATCTTGCCATTATCGTTACTGAAAAGTATATCAATGGGAGCCAAACGGCATCGACCGATGTAGTCGTTAATTAATTGCGGTGTTCAGTCGGCCAAAAAAAACTTCTACAGTGGTATCACAAACAACGACAAAGGGGGCTACTTGTGTTTTATATAAACGCACAGACGAAACAAAAACCTGTCCAATTACCACCATGGAATCTCCTTGCAATACTGTCCGAAAAGGGGTTACAGTTACCTGCATCCAACGCCTTCCCCCTGAGCTACTAGACTACATCTTCTGCCTTCACTTCCAGCAATCTTCGCCCATAGGCTTTCTCGGGACCTCAACCAATCAGCAAGTAACCGACAACTCACTACTATACTCACCTAGACAATTATCTTCTCTCACCTTAAGCCACGTATGCTCTCGCTGGAGATCCATTTCCCTTTCTAATCCCAATCTGTGGTCTCATATGGGATTTTACTTGCATCTGGGCCAACTTGACAAGGGTAGAATTGATTCTCTACTACATCTAACCCAGCTCTACCTTGCGCGCTCCCAACAATCACTTCTGGATTTGGTCGTTGAATTTACCGATTTGACTTCATGTGAGAGAGACGAAACCGAAGAAATCTCAGATGAACTGTACGACAAATGTCGCCAATTCCTTCCTGTGTACCAGCTTCTCTTTGACCATGCATATAGATGGCAGAACGCCCGCCTCGTTCTATGCCGTGAGATGTTTGGTCAACGTTTCCAGGACCCACCACTCTGGCCAACCCATTTTCCGGTACTCGAAAACCTAGCCATTCATGTTATTAACCACCAAGACGATTACATGGGTTCCCATCCTTGTACGACACTCTCAGCACCTCTCTTACAATCATTCACCCACACGGGTCATGGAGTCGAAATTCTATCACCCGAGTCCACAGATTCCACATCGAGTTTCAAATACCTGCGTTCGCTTTCCTTTTCCGATCACCTCTGCGAATCGACGCTGTCCATGGCTTCGTCTATAACTTCCGTGACCTTGCGTAAAATACGCGGCTTTAGCTATTCCGGGTATGGCATCGTCCCCTGTCTTGCGAGAGAAGTTTCTCTCGTTCTTGACACAATGGGACCTTGGAGCAGTTGGGAGATAAAGAGCGTATTGGAATATATGGCACTGCCTAACGTTACCTCATTCCATCTCGGGACCTCGCTGCCTTCGGACTCGGGTGGACAGATGGCAGAGCCCTCCAGCATTTCCTTCCACGAAGAATTAATTGGGTGAGCGGAGCGAAACCCATTATCTAGCAGTGACCCTAAATGCAATGCACAGCCACCTGCGCTGGCATTTGAGGCTGTGCAATTTTCAAACTCCGATCACCCCTTAGGCAGTGGTGCCGTAGGTCACCAATGCGAAGCATGTTTTCGTTATTCAATCGCTCTAGCGCGGCATCAATTACCGATTTTACGATCACCGACATATGGGTCAAGGATGAAGCACTGTTAGCGGTGCTCAGTCAGCTGCCGTCTCTTTCACGTCTAGCTGTCGGGGATGTTACGTCTCACTGTCAAGATGAACAGTCAACAGGCACGTCTGATATATTGTCCTGCTTCTTCTTACGTTCACTCTCATGCCCGATTCATGTCGACTCGAGCTCTCCCGTTCACGTTCCGAATTTGATCGAGTTATACATAGCCTTTGGATATACTCTTAATGCCCGTCGATGCCACGCTTTTTTGGATATGATAGAGTCGAGAGTGTATCGATACACAGATAGCGAGACGATAGCCCGACTACGGTATGTGCGGGTGAAGCTCATTGCGCAAAACATGGATGCAGATACTTTGGAACGATTGGACCGACTCCGTGGAGAGGAATTAATGATTGATATCGATTTTGTGAACACGAGAGAAGAGTGAAATCAGGTTTCGGGTGTTGGCGCCTTGATGTTTAACATTAATAGTAGCGATTATGTTTATTTCTTGCACTTGAACACTGCGCTAATTAGTAGCTGTATGTTGATTTTAAGTACGGTATATTACGCTAATGACGAGCCTCATCATCATGAGATCATGTCGGATCCAGACTGCTTCTGAAGTTAGGTTCTCGAGGGATCAAGGCTCAGGGGGAGAAAAAGAACACCGAATTTATTTGGTTCTAGAAGTTAACGGTCAGTTGACATTTGAATTCGAATATTTATTGAAATACCAGCCCAACTGCGCATGCACCCCTCTGTGTAGCTGCACGTCCTTATACCGCACACCTCCAGAGTTACCCATAGTTGACAGATACTCGTTACCATATGCTTAGGCACAGAGACGAATAAACACGGATGGAAAAAAAAAATAAAAAAATCAAACCTCAAAAATCCTGTTCGAACGTTCACGGGGCTCTAGCAGCTGCGGTAGTCTGCTGGTGGATTTTGAAAGTCCATTCCATAAAAGCAGAAATCTATAATATTGACATTTGAAAGGACAATCCAATGCGTACATCTGTACATAAGCAATAGATGGATAATCCATGCACGACAGTCGGGCACATTCTCTCGAAGGGTGACGAGTCGTCAACAGCGATAAGTGCCTATAGGTATGTATGTTCAGTTTTTGTACTGGCCATAACATGTGGTTGATGTACTGGAGATGGTGGAGGACTTCTAGCAGGCAGAGGGTCAGTAACGCTAGAAACTGGAGCAAATAAACCATACCGACGGAACACACCTTTGCATTGAGCCAACACTCAGGTGAATCCGAATCAGAAAAGTAAGCGGGATTTCTGAGAATCCATATAGGAGGACAAGGACTTCTGTTCCTTCCAGAAGCTATACAAGAAACAAACCAATGATGATTTGATTCTGACATAACAATCAAGTCCGAAGGTCGACTCTGACTATCCAGTAAAAAGATTTCTATTAGATTTATCCAGCGAGAACCTCTCTAGAACCAATCGGTGTCGATGGAAACAATCTCAATTTCATTCCTGAGTTATCACTGAGTTAGAACACTCTAGATTAGAGGTCCCGACTCACGGTATACTTACACACAAGCACCAACTCTTCGTGTTCTGTAGTCCTCATACAGTCCCTATACTGGTGGGCGCACTTCATCCACTTCTTCTCCTACTCGCATGTAGCATTGATTCGTAAGTAACAGAACAGACACGCGAATACATGATGAGATAGTATTTGAGCTACCGAGGATGGCTATAATGCCTTCGCTGACGATTTCAAAAGGCACCTGTGTAGGATCTAATTTTTCTGGCGATTCGGCGTCGCGAGACTTTGAACAAGGCAGAAAATGAACCCAAACACGGAGAGTAGGTCACAAATCTCAAGGACGGTACCAAATGTCTTTTGTCGACGTTCCCTTCTTGAATCGATCAGTGGCCTATTTGACACCGATCTGCACAGGATGGAAGTTGAGACACATGTTCACGAATAGAATCATTGAAGTCCAAAGACCACGTCCGGCTTTGAAAGCATCAAATAGTGTCAAAGACCGACGGAAGTCCTGTACGGCACATCCCACATCAAAAAGTCAGCAAGGTGGATCAAGGCAGTGTACAACTTGAATTACTTACGAAAGTTGAAATATTTTAGTAAGACATTCGCACTGGGAAGCACTATTACACACGAACAGGCAACCACTGTGGGTACCCAGACCTCAAATGGCTGCGTGGACACTGAGAGACATACAGCTGAAGTACCAAACGCTAGTCCACCACATAGTATGGCTGTCCCGCCGGCATCGCCCACTGAACCGATATTCTCGATCCGTTGACAAGCCTGCTGGATTTGGGACACATCGGGAATGAGACTACGAAGATGAGATAGGAGGCCCTCAACCCTTGAATCAATCTGTTCCATCTGTGTTCTGACCTGTCGAAGGTCATGATCAATGATGGATGAGACGTCACGGGATGCACTATGACTCCGAGTTGCATTCTGAGCGCTACGAGACGTTTGGCGTGTACGAGAATCCGGAACAGAAGAGGACGGATGGGTTGGAACGGTTGATGAAATGATACCAGCTCCAGCAGCAACACCGAGCCCTCCCGATGCGAGATTTTGCCTCTTGAGTACATCAAGTCTGCTCATGATTCTTTTCAATACCTCGAACTTTAAAGACTCCCATAACGGGGTGTCAACGAAGAATTTTCGGAAGGGGTCTCGGGGATCAGAATTGATGATTTCATCCTGCAGATGATTTAGGTCCTCAAGTGACATATGATCTATACCGTCAAGAAGACGCTGGACTTCGGATATTTTCGATTGGAGTAGAGTGGAGGAAAGAAGCGCAAGGAAAGCCGAAATGACATCGAGAAGAATGCCCATGAATGAGAGAGCTTTTGCGGCTGTTAAACCTGTCGAGGTGACAGAGCTGTCAACGGACAAGCTAAGAATAGTTCCTTGGACACCAGCTAAGAATGTCGCCTGTAGAAAATAGGTATAAGTATTGTAAATGAGCACAAGACGAGACGAACAGGCGCACAATCGTAGCCTCAGTAGTTAAGGCATTAATTTGCCCTCCGACATCTTCCCAGCGTGTACGTCTGTCGGGTCGCTGTATAGTCCAGTAGAGGGCACTCCAGATATCCCGTAGAGATTGAATTTTACTTTGACAGGTCATTCAGCAATATTGATACAGCCTGGAACAGAATTGAAACTATGGGGTTACAAAGTGGTGAGGCTGTAATTGGCATGAGTATCGTTTAATAGAGATCTTCACCTCAACAACAGTGAAGGAAAGAAAACAGCGAAATCAGTTCTGTCGTGAAGCAGTGATGGCGGTTCGGGAACAAGCAGTTGGACTGCCACGTGATATCAACATACTTCGTTGTCAACACGGTAAGCGCTCGAAAGTTACTAACGCTAGAGACGGGCCTCGAGCACTGCTACTCACTTGACAAAAGAAAATCCTTCCCTTTGCACAGTGATGAATATGGGAGGATGTAGTCCCGACAGCCATCTGCCGGCGGATGCTGAAAGCGAGGAGCGAGTTAGACAAGGGCCGAGAGGAAGTTCCACCTTCCAAGCAC